CCTGTTCCCACAACTCTACCAGTCAATACCCCAGTGGAGACTCTCCATCGGGGCTCCAACACCACATTTCTGCTTGGCAACGTCCTAGCAGAGTCTTTCTGTGACACCTAGGCCTTCTGATACATCCTCTAAAATCTAGGTGGAAGCTGCCAAGCCTCTGCCACTTTTGCATTCTGTGCCCTGAAGTCCTAACAACACATAGAAGCTGCAAAGGCATACAGCTTGCAGCCTGAGCTGAGTACCTGGAGCCCTTTGAAACAGCTGGAGCTGGAGCAACCAGGATGCAGGGAGCTGCATTCCAAGGTGGCAAAGGACAGTTGCGCCCACAGCTTTGACTGTGGAAACCATTCTTGTCTTCTAGGCTTCTGGACTTGCGATGAGAGGGACGGCCTAGGAGATTTCTGAAATGCCTTGAGGGCCTTTTCTCCATTGTCTTGGCTATTAGCATCTGGCTCCCTTTTATCTGAACTAACTGGATTCTTCTCCTGAAAGTGCTCTTTCCTTCTTTAACACAAGGCCAGGCTGCAATTTTTCCATATTTTTATGCTCTACTTTCCTTTTAAATTCCAACTTTAGATCATTCCTTTCCTCCCATATTTGATCGTAAGCTGTTAAAAGAAGCCACACCACTTCTTGAACCCTTTGCTGCTTAGACATTTCTTCTACCAGATACTCTAGGTCATCACTCAAGTTGGGCCTTCCATAAAGCCCTAGGGCATGGAAGCAATGCAGCCAAGTTCTTTGCTACAGTGTAACAAGGGTCCCGTTAGCTCCAGTTCTCAATAAGATCCTCATTTCCCTCTGAGCTCTCCTCAGCATGGCCTTTACTGTCTATATTTCTATCAGCATTTTGGTCACAACCATTTAACCAATCTCTAATAAGTTCCAAACATTCTTTCATCTTCCTGTTTTCTGAGCCCTTCAAGCTCTTTCAACCTCTGTCCATTACCCAGTTCTAAAGCTGCTTCCGCATTTTCAGGTCTCTTTATATCAACACCCCACTCTCAGTACCAATTTTCTGCCTTAGATGCTTCTGACAGAAGGGGAGCCGGGATATGCAGATCAAATGGTGAAGAAGGGAGGGAGGGAGGGGAAGTGGGAGAGAAAAAGGGAGTAGGGAAGAGGGAGGGAGACATATACAGAGAGAGATAGAAAGAGAGAGGAGGTAACAGGTTCTTTTCAAAGACCAATTCTCAGGGGAACTAAGAGTGAGAGCTCATTCACTCAGAAGGGCACCGAGCCATTCATGAGGGATCCACCCCCACGATCCAAACACCTCCCACCAGGATTCACCTCTAACACTGGGGATAAAATTTCAACATGAGGCTTGGTGGGCCCAAACCATTTCCAAACCACAGCAGTGCTTTTGTTGATTAAGAAGGGAACTCAGGATAAAGAAATACACAGGGTTAATTTGAGTTTTTACAAACTATAAATAAACAGCAACACTGACTGGGTGCTATGGCTCATGCCTGTAATCCCAGCATTTTGGGAGGCTAAGGTAGGTTGATTGCTTGAGGCCAGGAGTTCGAGACCAGCATGGGCGACATGGTGAAACCCTGTCTCTACCAAAAAACACAAAAATTAGCCAGGCATAGTGGCACAAGCCTGTAGTCCCAGCTACTTAGGGGCTGAGGAAGAGGATCGGGTGAACCTGGGAGGTTGAGGCTACAATGAGCTATCGCACCATGCACTCTAGTCTGAGTGACAAAGTGAGACTCTGTCTCAAAAAAAAAAAAAAAAAAGTGTAGCAATACAATCCTGTAAACCTTTCCTTCGAAACCAGAAACTGTAAATGAGACTCTAGGAAAAAACACTCAAAAATGGAATGTTAAACAAAAAAAACAAAAATCCAGGTATGACAGTTTCTTATTTCTATATAACCCTCTAGGAAATAAGTATTACTTGGCACTATATTTAAAGTACATTCTAACAAACATAAATCAATATCTACAGAGACATGAAGTAGAAAACCTCACTGCTTTCCATTTAAACTTCAGGATCTCTACCAGATCCTGAGCAATACGCTCTTTCTAGCAAAGAGACAAAAATTGGAATACTTTATACTTGCTATTATTTATTCTGGTAGATTGTATCACCTGATGTAAAGTTTCCATGAATGATTCCTGAAAACATCATACACAAATTATTTAGGAACCAGCTCTTTCTCCAACTGTTGGCATAATTTTTGGGTGGTGTTCGGGTGTTTGTGTTTTTGGAGGATTCATAAAACTGGTTATTATGACACTGATTACTAAATCGTTGATTCTTTACTTCCTAATTTATTAGACTATTTTGTTTCATTACGAGTTCAGAGCATCAAAGAGCTTTGTCCTTGATGACAAAAAAAATGAGTAAAGACAGTCATATATACCTAGCCTGACAAAAGAACAGTCCCAGAAAGATTTCAAGAGCTTTACAGAGACTGCAAATTTTCACCTTCAAAGTCTGACCTTTCAGTTGACATTGTAACAGTCAGTTGAGGCCAGGATACAGTATCTTAATCATGATTACCTTTATGTGTACCATACACTACAACCTGGAAAATCTTCTCAATAGGAACAAGAAGGGGCCAGTAAGGTGTGATGGTTAACAGGCTCTCAAGCAGACTGACTGGGGCTAGAATTTTAGCTTGGCCACTTAATTTACTCTGTGACTTAGAAAAAGATGTTTTAATCTTTCTTTTTTTTTTTTTTTTGAGACGGAGTCTCGCTCTGTCGCCCAGGCTGGAGTGCAGTGGCCGGATCTCAGCTCACTGCAAGCTCCGCCTCCCGGGTTTGCGCCATTCTCCTGCCTCAGCCTCCCGAGTAGCTGGGACTACAGGCGCCTGCCACCTCGCCTGGCTAGTTTTTTTTTTTTTTTTGTATTTTTTAGTAGAGACGGGGTTTCACCGTGTTAGCCAGGATGGTCTCGATCTCCTGACCTCGTGATCCGCCCGTCTCGGCCTCCCAAAGTGCTGGGATTACAGGCTTGAGCCACCGTGCCCGGCCTTTAATCTTTCTCAGTTACACATTCCTCCTCTTTAAACTGATGCTAAAATAGCATCTACCTTTAAGTGTATAGAGAGAAATAAATGAGTGAATTCATGGCAAGTGCTTAGAACTGTGCTGGGCAAACAGCTGAAGAAATATCATCTATTCTATTAAAAGTATTTAACACTATCTTTCAAGATGAAAGCCTTGCCCTGAAGCTCAAGCCATGTGCCTCCAAGTTACGTGCTCTTTACATTATGTAGGGGATTGGCTACTGCTGTGTTGCTCTTCCTCCAAGAGCCATAAGGCATGGAGCCCTGACAGCAGATTCCTGTTACCTCAGGTGCAAGTCATAAAAAAAGGTCAAATACATCTCCTTGGCTTTTCTTTCATTTCCCATGTTAACAGATTTCTCTGAAGGACAATTATTTTGCCATGACCCATCTAGCCTCTGGCATACAGCCTCTCACCTGTCACTTAAAACTTTTATATAATTCTTAATAAGCTGACAATATTCGATTGGGTAATCATTTTCTTCTTTTTAAAATTTATTTTTATTTTTTGAAATAGGGTCTTGCTCTGGCACCAAGGCTGGTTTCAAACTCCTGGTCTCAGGTGATCCTCCCGGCACTGGCCTTCCAAAGCGCTGGGATTAGAGGGACGCTTCACCACACCTGGCCAAGGTAATTATTTTCATCTTCCTCAAGTAATGCAAGGTGTTAACATTTGGTGACAGGTACTTTGTCTTTCACAAAACACAAAAACGGCACTGTGAATTGGGATGAGTTTGTTCCCTACTGTAGCCAAAGACATCATGATGACAGGTCCTAAACCTGGACATTTATACTGAATTTCTCCTAGAAAGCATAAAGTTTACAAGGCTAGACACAATACTCTGAAGAAAGCATATTTGTTATCGCAAAACCTTCGTTTTAATTTTTCTTTCTGATATTTGAAATTGCAGGCACTGTATGGATAGCCTGAATGCAACTGTATATTGAAAAAGGAAACCACTTATTTAATAGCTGCTGAAAGAAGTTCAAATCGTATCTATTTGTCAGAAGTCTATTTCAAACCTTCCAAAGCCTATTCTAATTTATTGCCGGATAAGATCCCACCTTTGACTTTTCACACCACCTTGCTTATATTCCTTTTATGGCAAATATTAGAATTATTATTTGCAAACATGTTTTATCTTCAAAATATATCCAGAATCCAACAGCTTCTAACTAATCATCTTCACTGCTACCATTCTGGTCCAAACCACTGTCATCTTTTCCCTGGATTACTACTACGATATCCTTCTAACTGGTTTTGTTGTTTTCACTCTGGTCCTCCCACTTCCACACCAGACTATTCTTAACATAGCAGTTAGCATGATCCCATAGAAACTGCGGCCATATTATGTCACTTCTCTCCTAAATCCACCTCACCCAGAGTAAAGGCCAAAGTTCTTTTTTTTTTTTTTTTTTTAAAGACAGTCTCACTCTGTTGCTCAGGCTGGAGGGTTGGAGTGTAGTGGCATAATCTCGGCTCACTGCATCCGCCTCCTGGGTTCAAGCGATTCTCCTGCCTCAGCCTCCCAAGTAGCTGGGATTACAGGTGCATGCCACCACACCCGACTACTTTTTAATATATTTCTGGTAGAGACAGGGTCTCACCATGTTGGCCAGGCTAGTCTTGAACTCCTGACCTCAAGTGATCTGCCCGCCTTGCCCTCCCAAAGTGCTGGGATTACAGGAGTGAACCACAGTGCCCGGCTCCAAAGTTCTTATCAAAGGCCCAGGAGGCCCTACATGATGTGCTTCCTCTGCGCCCCCAGCCCCCAACTGCCCAGCTTCTACTTTTTCCTTCACTCACTCCTGATGTTCCCTAAACTCATCAAGCATTCTCCTGTGACAGCACGTTGCACTTGCTGTTCCCCTTGCGTAGAAAACAACTCTTCCAGGTATACGTGTGCCTCACTTCCCAGCTTTCTCCAAGTTTCTGCTAAAATGTAATCTTATTAAATAAGAGAATGTCTCTTACCATCTCATATAAAAATGGCAAGTCCCTTCTCTCTTCCCCATCTCCATCCCCTTTACAATGCTTTTGTTTTTCCAACAGCCCTTATCACCACAAAGCATATTATTCACTCATTGATTGCATGTTTCTCCTCCCTTCAATAAAACGTAAGTTCCGGGAAGGAAGAGACTTATCTGTTCACTGCTGTATCCCCAGCACCTAGAACAGTGCTTGGCACACAGAATGCAATCAATAAACATTTACTGAATAAATGAACAAACTTCCACTTTATTATTATTTTTTAAAGAGACAGGGTCTTGCTCTGTGGTTCAGGCTGGAGTGCAGTGGCATAATCGTAGCTCGTAAGATCCTTTCTGATATGTGAAATTGCAGGCAGTCTATGGATAGCCTGAATGCAATTCTGCAGCCTCAAACTCCTGGGCTCAAGCGATCCTTCCGCCTCAGCCTCCAGAGTAGCTGGGACCACAAGCAGGCACCACCATGCCCAATGACCTTCCACTTTAGAACATAAACTCCTTGAAGGTTCTGCCTGATTCTTGATACTGTTCACATCATCAACTGTGGTGACGTTCATTTAACAGACCTTAACAAAATTTTTGAGTGAAGAGCAAGGGAATCTAAGTTACTGAGAATACTTGGGGTAAGTCTACAAGGAATTACGGGAATCAACAATCCAAGCAACTGCATACAGAGCACCCTGGTTCTAAAACGAAAAGGTGGTTGTGGAAAGCGGAATCAGATGTTTCTCCATCTACCAACATTTTGGGCAGTATTTCCAAGGCATTCATGAAAGTTGCTGAGACAGTAAATATTTCACTCCTTAAACTGCTCGTCTTAATTCACTGGGATTAAACAGCTGTATGTTTCAGGACTCTGTTCAGGTTCGTGCCCTACTCATATCATTTAATCTTCCTAATAAATCCATGCACATAAGATTTTAATCCACTGACACTGGGCAAAGGAGGCAACGTGGACTCGGGGAGGGCAGTGGCCGGCTCAAAGTGGTTGGGCTAATAGGTGTCAGTGCCAGGATTCTAACCCAGGACATTTGGCTTCTGGGCCATGGAACCCCGGCACCCAGGCCTTTCGAGGTTGACTAACTTAAGAGCCGGCTCCGCCTCTGCAGGAGTTGCCTCCCAAAAGGCAGAAATACGATTGCGCAGACGACGAGAACAGCCCAAGTTCTTCACCCAGGTTCCCGCGGGATCAGGAGCCTTCAACATTTCTCAAGGAATGCAGTTTTGCCCACAGATGCTTCGAAAACCCAAGTTTCCTGATCGTTGGTATGACACACCCAGGATTAAGCGAGCGTATGCGAGAAGCGCTCTGCAAACCGCCAGGCGAACGGCAACGAAGAGGAAGCCTCGGAAACAATACCTGAATGAGGCGAGGGCTGAAAAACTTGCTGACAATGGGCACCGGTCAATGCTCGGGGGCGGGCGGGGATGCTCAAGAAGGGCTCCAGTCCTCCCCGCGGAGACGGCGGAGCCCCAAGCGTGCGTTTCTGGGGCGCCGAGGTCTGAGGGGGGGCCGGGAGAGATAGGTCGGTCTTAACAAGCCCCCAGACCCCTCTTAACACGGGCGCGGGGCCCCTGCAGCCTGCCGCCCCTCTCGGCCC